GTAATACATTCGAAAATATCATAATTTTAAAGAAATTTATTTATTAACAAGTTTATTATTTATCTTATATATTTTTCTTTCATATTCCATTCATAATTCGCATATTAAATAATTATTATTTACAAAATTTATTATATCATTACATGATTTCGTCTATATATAGTAATTTCATATATTTTTTATTTTATTAACTTATTTTTTCATATAATAATTTATACACTGTATATAGTTTATTTATAAATAATTTTTACAAACCTCACCAAAGTAACACAAATGAAATTAAATAAAAGAAATAATATAAAAAATATCAATGGCAAAAAAATGATTGTTACAAACAGATTTAACTCGATATCACAAAGTGCCACTTTTATTTTTTGATTTAGAGTATTTTTGCAGAAATAAGTTAATTTACTTGTTACTACATCAAGGAGATATTATCATGTCGATTACAAATATTACATTAAAATAAATTTAATATGAGCTATGTTCCCCATTTTTTTCAATTACAAAGCCTACAACGTTCTTTCATCGACCCAAGTAAATTCGCTAAAATGGCTTTCTGGACTGCGAAGTAGGACGTTTGTTAAAATGTTTTTCGACATTTATATATCGATATATAAAATATTCTAAAAATTTAAAGTTTGATAAAGCCTTGTGTTATTATGCTAAAAATATAAAATTGTTCGTTGTTTCTTACATTAATTTGATTTTAAATAATTTTTACGACTTTCACTTTTAACATAATTTCTTTTCTATAATATATATTGAAAAAATAAATATGCTGTTGAAATAATTTTTTTTATTTGCTCAACCTTTTGTATCACGTGATAACTTATGATATATTTCGTAAATTGCAGATTTTATAAATATATTTTATTAATGTAACAGACTTTATTTATGATTAATATAATGGATTGGATCCTAATATTCTTTTATCAATGATATCTAACAGTTCGCATCTAATATCAATATAAGCTTATAGTTCCTGAAGGAACGAATTATTGATACAATTAATTTTATTATAATCTATTATGTTAAATTATCTTTGATATCCATGATTAAGAACACTGTATGCATATATCGATCGACAGAAAATCTTGGAATTAAAAATTAGCCACATTTCTGCAGGTTGGTCACATTGGAATTATAATAATATTCAAAGTAACTTGAAACTATTTTCTTGTAATTTTTTTCTCACCATACTATTAAATTTTTTCTTAAAAACAATATATAGATGACATTTGGACATTAAATTATATGGGAAATTTGCTATTAAAATCGAATTACGAATATAGTAAATCATATGATCCGTAACGTGATTTTAATAGCAAACCTCCCATATATTTGAAGCAATTGAATGAGTAAAGTTATATTTCCAAATAATTTAATTCTAAATAATTGTGTAAAGTATTCCAAAAGTTGGTCTGTTAGATCATGATGTGATGTACCAAAATTTGTTAAAATCAATTATTCTTGTTGGACGAGATTATTCTATCACCTATTTCATTAGTTTTATCTGTGTCACCTCTCTTTATTAATAACTGAACAATAAATGTGCTCTAGAATATTTTTTAAGTTAATTTAAAAAATAATTGTTATCTGAAAATAAATGGAATGAATATTCATCACTATTAATAAATCTCTGTCATGTAATTCTTTGATAATAACAAGTTCAATAACCAATAGTTTTTGTTATAAAATTACTTGAAGTGTTTCTTTATCGCATCAATCGTCAGTAAAAAAGAAATAATGAAATAAATAATTTTAATGTTTGCTAAAAAGTCTATCAATTTTCTGCTTTTTTCCTTATCGTTATATTTTAAATTTTTTTTTGCTCCTTAACGTTAAGCAAAAGCAAAAAATAAAATTAAAATATATGCTTCGTTGGAATGTTATTGAAATTAACCAAAAATATAAATTTTATATAATAACGAAAATTCAATCCATGACGATCATGAAAAGTTATCAGAATAAACAAATTTAATTACTAAAATAAGTATAAATTAAGCACATTATACGAACATTTTTTCTTTTACGATTATTCATCGTGGCTATTTCAGATTAATTTATTTAAAATATTTTCTTTAATACTCATCATTGTTATCTTTAGAATATTCTAAATTTGAAGCCAAAATTAGAAAAAAAAAGAACAACACCTCCCTAAAAATTCGCAGAATCAACAAATCGCTTTGGTAAGTTATAAATATTGCAGGTAAATATATCAATTCCTTTAAATTTATAATAAACAAGATCAACCTTAAGTCACTTCAGGACTTTATTTATTAATAGCATAAAAGTTAGCACAATTTTATGTAAAATATGGTTCAAAAAGTTTATATAAATCTATTTTCTAACTTATCACTATTTTGACTACTTTAGTCAATATGTACATGTTTTGAGTTATTTGCATCGTTTCGATTCTCTAACATACGAACAATATGAGAAACTACAATTTTTTCACTCTGCATCTCCCATCAAAATTGCAAATATATTGACGAAAAATTTCAACATTATGTTTTCCTGAAGAACCAATTCAACAAATGAAATGCCAACAACTTCTGGCTGTTACGATTCTAAATAATGGTGGTTTTTATACAATTTTCTGAAAATATGCATCAAATGTTAGGTTTACCCTAAACGCAATAAACACAAAATTTTGATGTTACCTCTGACGCATTATGCAATAGCATGATGTTTTGGGCTATCCCCTTACGGATATCTTCCAATTTGGCTATGTTAACCAGCACTGAAAAACCATCTAGTTTTACGAAATAGCCCACAGTGCCATACGCTCTAGTTCCATTAAGATTAGCTCCAACGATTAATATTACTGAATCGTTCGTAAACCTTCGAATGTGAGCATCATGAAAAATTAATATATATTCCTAAACCGTTCGTTCATTATCATTGATATTATTTTTGAATACTCTCAACGTTAGTTTGATCAATTAGTAAAGAATTTCAATTTTTCTTCAGAAATTAGATTGATGTTTGGTAATCTCTAAGCGATCCACTAAATTCTTGATGCAAAACTTTTTTGAACACATCTTTGATTTCCCATTCATTAAAAGATTTATTACCTATCATAATTTGGAGAAGTTTGAAATCAGGATATCTACATCATTTTCATACTAAATCGAGATAAAAAAAAATCATACTTTCAGGTTTGATCTTGACTTTAAAGTTCGTGATTTATTTCTTTCTGCAGTCTGATCTACAAGGGCGTTGAAATTCATTTTCGATGTTCTTATTGTTGTTCTCAGGAATTTCAAAATAGAAGTCTCGCGCTTCTTCAACATCAAAGAATGATAATTTTTTGAACTTTTTTTTAACTTCTAGTAACATAATCCAGGATCCGCTGGAGTGTAGTATTTTGCATTTTATTTCACTAATTATATAGGAGAAATCAAAATATGAAAAACATTTTAAACTTACTGTTCGATGTGGTAAATAGATTTCGAATCATAATACAATTGTGTTAAGGTGGGCTGTTAGGAAATCTCCACTTAGAGGTTGCTTTCGTTCCTTATCAGCAAATAATTCAATGTCACACCAGTTGACATTTTTAAGTTCAATGAACTCTTCTTGAAGGTGGTTTAAAGTGGAACATTGCGATACACTGAGATAACTTTGATTATCAAGGAATTTGGTTTGTCTTCTAATAGAACTCACATTGATATTAAGGAATTTGGAGATGATATTATTGGAGATGCTATTATATATAATTTATATTGACGAATTGAAATATTTTTAAAAAAAAATTATAAAACTTGCATAATAGAAAAGTCAATTGTGTATGTAGAAAAAACCTGTTGGATCAATTATAATAGTATTCACTGAAAGTAAGCATCCCGTGATATTAATAAATGTGTTATTTAGGTACTATACGGTAATTGACATGTTTGTTTCATATGAATATTGTAATTCGTAATGATAACTTTCTTGAAAGTTTATGCGAATTTATTAATAGATTCTCTAAAATGATCTCACCTTTAGATTACAATATCATATATTTTAAAACTTGTAAAAAATTTATGCGAGTTTGTTATCTTTAGTTATGTTACTGTTAAGCAAATTTATGAACGACTATGAAAAAGTTGATCAAAATTATAATTGTTAATCATGTGATTTAGTAATCAAGTGTAACTGAAAAATAATATAAATTGCAAAATGTGACTAAAAGAAAAGTATGACGATAAAAAAGTTAACTATATAGGGTCGATGAATCTTGTTTATTTTATCGAATCACAAATTTCATTTGCAATTAGTAAATTTTAATTAGGATTTGAAACAAGTTTCTTTTACTTTTAATTATTAATTACCATTAATATTTATGTATAGTAAATTCATCAAAACATTTAATCATTAACGAATTTATATGATTCAATAATGTTTTAATTTATTTCAAAAATACAACGAAAATGCAAACCTGCTAGATTAATATTAGTGACTGTACTTTATTATATAAAACGATTTGATCATAATTCTTGAACAATTTCTATTTCATTATAAAATAAGTTTTTCAAAAAATAAAAGAAATCGTTCAATGACGAAATCATGTGTTTTTGATTAAAAAGCATCATTAAAAAGTTATAAGGTAATGATGTTATTTCTTAATCCTCCAGAAACTTTGCTCAAGATATTGCTTCAAATACTTATGTTTACTAAAGTTTCAAAAGGATTCAATCAATCTTGCAATCTAATTATGCGTTCTAAAAAAAATTCAATGATATCCTTCTTGATAAATTGTTTTTAAAAATAATACTTATAAAACAAGAATTCTTCGCATGGAAACTGAGTTAAAAAGCATATTTCAACACAATATATTTCATATACTTTTTGAAATGGCTCATTAATAACTTTAATAATTTCAAGAGCAAGTTAAAGAAAGTAGCAGAGAAAATTTAGAAATGGTATCCTTTTTGAGGCTCACTGTCTATGTAGGTAATTTATGCACCTATATTAAATCAACGTTCATATTAAAAAATTTTCCCTCCTTAGATGATGATCAATTTTAAAGACTTTTGTGACAAGCTAACGGAGGTACAATTCTAGTAATTTTAATTTTAATCTAAAGCAAGCGTCAACATCAAGATTTGATTGATAATCCCATATAGTTGCTTGGTTCTTTGAAAAACGTTTTAAATTTTATCTAGAAAAGTATTAATTCCCAAGTGGAAATTAAAGGATTGGCGGCACCTTTCAATATTTTAAAAGAAAAAGGTGTTTATAATTATATTGCAGAGGGAGGGTAAACTAATAGTCAAGCGCATTTTGACTCAAAAGAATTACTGACTCGCTGTTTATCATGAAATAAGTGATACCTACAATATTCTTTCACACGTTAGATATACGAATGAAAACAGAGCGTTAAGATAGTGCCAGTTATAAGAGGCTTATAAAAGAACGTAAGAAAGAGAATATACGCATACAATTGATAGGTATAAATTTCTTGTTAATAATTACAAGCAAATATTCTTTAATATGAATTTTACTAAATTTTTTGCATTTATCTTATTAATATTGAACGATAACCATTAGAGCCTAAAAGAAAATACAGCAGCAACTGAAGTTAAATAATATATTGCGCGAAGCTCTATGTATGTGTCTCTTATCGCACCCGTGTTCTAAAAATAAACGTTCAGCATATAAAAGACTGTCAGGGTATTAACAATCCTCCACAGATATGCAAATGCAGGAGGAAGGAAAGATTCTCTATTAGTTTTGACGATATGATAACCAGATACAGTATATTACCCTGATATGAAAATCGCACCATTAATTCCAATATAGTCAAAATTGAACTTCCCATCAATTTGATCAACTCGTAAAGACTATGGTAAGCCAAGGTTTCATCCATTATAGATGATAAACGAAGAAGATGTAAGACAGGCTTTGTCTGTGAAACTGCTAAAATCTTAATTCAACAACGGTATTACGATAACTAAGAGTAAGTTTCAAGCGTTTTTTTTAAAAGAGGATTAAGGGTGAGCCTAAGGTTGCCGGGCAAAACCGGAGGTTTCGACAGGCATCGAAATCGAAACCCGTCGTCGAAACGTTTTGCCAAATATTTTTATTAAAGGCAAAATTGCGAAAGTTTCGACGGGTGGCAAAAGTTTCGACGGATGGCAAAACCCATCGAAACCTTTTGATATTAAAATACTATTTTGAATTTAAAATTTATTATTTTTTGTTTTATAAGATGAGAAAATCGTATATAGCAAAGATCACTTTTATAATATCATATCTTTATATAAGAAAAAAAAATCACATTGAAATTGAATTAATTTATTTTTCATCAAATCCAATCACATCATTTATCTCCCATATTTTCTTCATTAAAACTCATGACAGTACTTATCTTATCTTCTTCATTCATTAATCTTTCATTTGAAAAATCATCATCTAGAGGTTGGGAACCGGATTTGACATTCGGATTTAAACCCAGATATATCCAGTTTCGGATACAAAATTGGCCCAAAGCCGGGTATATGATATGTTTAAAAAATTTATTTGACCTGCCACAGTTTTTGAAATAGATATTCAATTTTAAATCCGGATCCGATTTTTAAAATTAAGTAAATCCGAAAAAATAAACCCGGTTCCAGCCTCCATTATCATCTTCATAAGGTAATTTTTTAATTCTTTAATGAGTACCAGTGCTTCCAAATTTAAAAACAACTCGATAAATAATGCATTATTTTGGAAATTTTGATCTACTTTAAAATAAAAAGCAAAAAAAATCGTTTATTCTACATTGTGGCACAATACATCTGTTAAAACCGTCAAATTCGCAAAGTTGGTCGAAACTCGTCGAAAACCCATCGATACCCGTCGAAACCCATCGAAACTGTCGAAATAATTTCTGAAAAGTTTCGACTTTTGCCAAAATGAGTTTAAGGTTTTGCCCGCAACTATAGGTGAGCCAGATTTAATTACAAGCAATATGATAAACATTTGTTAGTAGTTGAAGATTAGATTCTAAATCAGCTCAATGATTTGAATGATTATTCAATTATGACTAGCATAAATCATTATTAATATGTAAATTCTTTATTGGAAAATCTGAAAGTTTATCATTTTATAGGATTTTATAAAATATAAATTAAAAGCGCTGAGATCGTAATATGTAATTTAATTAAGCTTTATTTGAAAGAGATTCGGATTTTTAAAATTAAATAAATCCGGAAATAAAAACAAACCCTGATACAAATTTAAAACCTATTAAAAAAAAAAATCGTTTTTATATTCTACATTATGATACAATAAACCTTTTAAAACCGTCAAATTCGCAAATTTGTTATCGAAACTTTCGAGACCCATCGAAACCCGTCGAAATAAATTTTGAAAAATTTCGACTCTTTCCATTATGGTTTTACTGACAATATTCACAATCTTGTAACTCTGGCAAAACATCGCAACACTCCCATCTAACACCATCTATACAGGAGCAATCTAATTGCCTTTTCACCAAGCTTGAGTGTTTCTCACTAGAAGAAGGTGCTGAAAAAGCAACATTACTGAAAGCTAAAATGACGATAATAAGCATGTAAATGTGAATTTTCATAATGACTTTGGAAGTATTTGAAGGATTAATATCACAAATGTTTTTATAAATATGTGAATTTTTATAGCTTAAAGACGTGTATTTATAAGCTAATCAGATTAGAGTTACAATTTAAATTATTTGATGTCTATTGACAATGTGATAACAAAATTTCCTCACTTTATATAGTTTTTTTTTTTAAATATCAGGCTTACTGGGCTTATCCTTAAGAAACTTGTATTTGCTTGCTATATATTCTCATAAGAGCGTTACAACCTTTACAGCCTCTCAAATGCTGTAATAAATATTTGCAACCAATCACACCATTGTAAATCTCAAATATAATCGGTTAGAAAAAAATTTAGGCTATTGTATATATACAATGAATATAATTATCCCCACAGACGATAATTTGTTCAACACATCGTTCATGTTAATTTTAATTAGACAGTTCATAAATGGGATATTGGTGTTGTAATGGCATTGTTTGCTGTAACTAAGCAAGAGGCTTTGGTAATGTAACTAAGTAAGAGGCTTTGATAATGTAACTAAGCCAAGAAGCATTTGTAATGTAACTAAGTAAGAAGCTTTGATAACATAACTAAGCCAAGAGGCTTCAGAAACTAAGCCAAAAGGCTTTTGTAACGGTACTTAAGCCATGTGTTAATAAATTCAAATTCCTTTATTTCA